TAGGGGCCAATATCCTTGACGTTCTCGACACCGGGTGGTATTTTGGGGTGAGGAGGGAATGGGAGGACTAGGGTTTGGACGGAGGGGGAGGGGTTGGCTGAGAGGAGCTGAGTTAGGGCAGGGAGGTTTTTGGGGGTGACCAAGACGGTTACGGTGATGCCGCGGAGGAGGAGCTGGTGAGTAAGGTCGAGGAGAGGGAGCATGTGCCCTTGCGCAGGGTAGGGAAAGACTAAGATGTGGGTTCTCGCCGACATGGTTTCTGGAATCTTGCTTTGCTTGAACTCTCACTGTGTGCGCGCTTCTTTCTCGGGTATATACTGTATGGGAAGACAAGGAACACGAAAGCACATTGAGTGGCGTAAAATACGCCAAGGCACAGTACTAGGTTATGACTTGGGAAAGGGATTCTCTTCTTATTCTCTTCCATTTAAGCCACCTAGTCTGGGATTTGAATTGTTGAAATTTGATTAAACAGTTACAAACAAAGGATTTTTTTAAAAATTTTAACGGTGCAGATCCCCGGATCCCTTTCCTATGACTTGTGAGTGATTGGCACGTGTGCTTGCAATTCCGTTTCCCTTGCGATTAGCCGTCGGAATGGAAAAACATATGTTGACCAATTGGTCTAAAATTTGAACTTTGAGCAGATTTAGCCTAAAGAATAAGGCAAATTAGTGGCGGCTCCTCCATGATGCGCGTGAACACACCACCAAGAAACTGGAAACCAACACACCCCAGACGCGCCCCACTTTCCTGCACTCGGCAAATCTGCCGCAGGTGGGATCCAGGAAGGGCAGAGTTGGAGGGGGGAGAGGGTTTTCCGAATTTGCAGAGTTGGAGGGGCAGAGTTCATTAATTGATTTTATAACTTATTCCGGCGAGCTAAACAAAAGAAAGAAATTGATGGTGGTTGTTTACGCTTTTTTCGTTAACATCAGTTTCCTCATTGTGGTATTTATAGTTTGTGATTTGTGATAGGCCCTGGTTCTGCACCTTCACTTTGTGAGCTGCTCTTGTATAGATTCAGGGACTGGGACTGGGACTGGGACTGGGACTCAAGTAGTGTGGTGTGGGATATGTTGGCGTTTGCTTATTCGAGATCTGAAATGGTTCATGATGCCCTGTCTGTTGTTGCTGAGACGAAAGATTTGAATTTGAAGGTTTCGACATCAACCTACAACTGCCTGTTGCATAACTTGAGGCATACAGATAGTGGAACTCCGGAGAGTGACTACACTACGTCTATACTTATAGATGGACTACACCAGCAATCCGGCCTGCAAGATGCAGTTTCTTTCCTCATGGATGCTGAAGGGACGGAGAATGGGCCTTCAGTTGCTTCATTCAATACCGTCATGTCTAGGTTCTGTAAATTGGGTTTTGTGGATGTTGCCAAGTCATTTTTTTGAACATCATATAAAAAAATGACATAATCTTGAGCCTACTCCTGTTACGTATAATCTCCTCATCAATGGTCTTCGAGAAAGCTTTTCAGATACACAACGAGATGTTAGTGCATAATTTTCCCGAGTTGCTTATACAAGAGTGCCGGCTAACCGGGATGCTTCTACGCATGCAGTTACGAAATTCAGGTGCTAACCAAGAGTTACTTTATGATCCTTGTGGAGCCTCGGGAAAATGCTGAAAAAAAATGATCCCATTGCTGAAACCAAGAGTCGTACACTATCTACTGCTTCGTATTTGAAAGATGAAGGGGAACCATGTTGCCCCATTGACTGTAGCATCCCACATCGTTCAAGAGAACGAATCCTGTAAACCTTATATGTATATTCTCATCTCTACCTAGCACGAGATCTTTTGGGAGCTCACTGGTTTTGGAGTTCATCGGAACTCTGAAGTTAAGCGAGTTCGCATGAGAGCAATCCCATAATGGATGACCCACTGACAAGTTCTCGTGTGAGTTCCCATAAACAAAACCGTGAGGGCATGGTCGGGGCCCAAAACGGACAATATCCATACTACTGTAGAGTCAAGCCCGGAATGTGATGGGGGCTCAGGCCAGGATGTGACAGTGACAATGAGGGCAGTTGCATATTTTTACCCCGGAATGTGATGGGAGTTCGGGCCGGAATGTGACAGTGACAATGAGGGCAGTTGCATATTTTTTTCAACGCAATCCATACAAAAGTGCCGGCTAACCATGTTCCCTTGGTGTCTGAGTCTTACGCCTCATCAACGAGAAATTTTTAGGTGTGCCGGGAACACCATGCCACGTGGTGTTCCCTCACACATAAAAATTTAGTTTTATTTATTTATTGAAATAAAAAATTGAAGTATATTCAAAATGTCAAATTTTTATGTGTGAGGGAACACCACGTGGCATGGTGTTCCCGGCACACCTAAAAATTTCTCCTCATCAACAACCAGCAAGGGGAAGCTAGTTCCTTCCTTGAGTTCTTATGGAGGTTAGTTTCTTGAAGTGAGTTTCAAAGAATGCACCACTCCATTTGCTTCTGCTTGTCTTTAATTTCTTACTATCCATTTTTTCAGGACAATCGAAATAGACGCGGCTAAGGTAAATTTATCATCATGCTCTCCTGCCTCATAGGCAAGAACAATATACCATTCAATTCATTCAATGTGATCTGAATAATATTTATTTACTGAAAGTTGAACATTCTCCTGGACTTTGATACGAAATCTATAAAACGGTAATAGAAAATAACCCCGATTCCTATTTGTTTTACGGACCTGCTATTGGCACTCCAAAATCGATCTTTCATGGGCTAGTCTGTTCACCTCACTTTAATTTGATCCAACTCTTTCACAAGCTCGTCCAAATCCTTTGAAGAGCTCCCACCATCTCCCACAGCCGCAACTGCCTTGTCCCTCAGTTCCTTCGCTCTCACCTTCTCAGGTGATTCCCCACTCATTGACTCAGCAATTGACTTTCCCAGCTCGGCCGAGTCAGGTACCCCATTGGCACCCTCACACACCTTCACGGCCACGCCCATGTACTCAACCAATAGCTTGGCATTTACAAACTGGTCAGCCTGCATAGGCCAGCTCAATATCAAAACCCCACCCGCAATCCCTTCCATCACAGAGTTCCACCCGCAGTGGCTGAGAAACCCTCCAACCGCCCGGTGGCCGAGGATCACCACCTGCGGCGCCCAGCCCTTTATCAGCAATCCCCTCCCAGAAACCCTTTCCTCAAACCCATCTGGTAAAACTCCGGACCCATCATTCACCTTCCCGGACAAGCCCGTTTTCACAACCCACACAAACCGAGCCCCACTCTGTTCCAGCCCAGAAGCCAAGGCATCCATCTGCTGCTTATTGAGCAACGTCTGACTTCCAAAGCAAACATACAGCACAGACCCATCCGGGCACCCATCAAGCCATGCGAGCACGTTATCCTTCCTCGTGTCTGTGTTCAGGTTCGCCCGTTCCAAGTTTCTGCCATTAGCGGCGGAAGGAAGTAGGCTCAATGGGCCAACTCCGTAAACACGGGGGTGGCCCATTTTTGTCCTCAAGTGTTGCAAATACTCTCCTTCCAACTCATGAAAGCTATTGAAAATGCATCCCCAACTTTCGATATTGGCAAGCATGCCATTCCTCAAACGCTCTGAGTCGGGCTCCGATTCTCTGTAGCGGCGGGGCAGGGGAGGCAAATGCTCTGCTTTGAACGAGGGTGATCGAGGAATATCAGGAAATTCAGCTAGAGATGACTTGATGACATCTAAATTACGCCAGCAGTGATCTGCAATAGATGCCAAGAAAGCACCAGAAGAATAGAAACTGATTCTGTGGATACCTAGCTGGCGGGCCAGGGGCAAGGTCCAGCCGAGGAAGAAGTCGGAGATGATGGCTGTAGGGGGGTTGGGGTGGGAGTTGAACCAGTGGACGATGGGCTCGTGGAGGTTGGTGAGGGCGTCGATAATGGCGACGTTTCCCCGGGGGCCAATATCCTTGACGTTCTCAACACCCGGTGGTATTTTGGGGTGAGGAGGGAATGGGAGGACTAGGGTTTGGACGGAGGAGGAGGGGTTGGCTGAGAGGAGCGGAGTTAGGGCTGGGAGGTTTTTAGGGGTGACCAAGACGGTTACGATGATGCCGCGGAGGAGGAGCTGGTGGGCAAGGTCGAGGAGAGGGAGCATATGCCCTTGCGCAGGGTAGGGAAAGACTAAGATGTGGGTTCTCGCCGACATGGTTTCTGGAAATGTGTTTGGTAGGAGAAGGTGGGTGTTTGGTTATCAGCATAACAAGAGTTTAAGAGAGTATTTAATTTTGTTTTAGATTAGGTGTATTCAATTGGGATTTTGAGATATTTTAATTCTTTTAATGAATTTAGGGGTATTCAATCAGGATTTTAAGTGATTTTTTGAAATTCAAGGTTTATTCAATTAGAATTTTAAGATAGTTTATTAAAATCCTTAGAAATCTGATGTGAATTAGGATTTTAAAGATGTTTATAACATTCCAGGTGTATTTAATTAGAAATTGATTTTAAAGAATTTAAGAGAGTTGAGGAATTAGTGGGAATTGGAAAGATTTTGTACTGTATTTTAAGCATCCACAAATCTTATTTCTTCCCATGAGATTTCGAGGGAATTGAATCAAAATTTTATATGGAATCTTTACAAATCAATTAAACTCCATAAAAATACATAGATTTATAAATCCATTAAAATCTCTCAAATTCGCAATTGAATACACCCCATTTAGATTTATATCTAAATTGATTGTATTCATTGATCAATTTTTGTTGGCACCCAGTCAGCAAAAATATGGGTGCTACATTTTCTACCTTATCACTTCACAGTTAATTTGGTGGATTGGCTAACAAAGGTCTGACATTGCAATGAATTCGTAAGATATAGTATTGCGTTATTGGTCGCAATGTCAGTCCTTTTGGGAATTTGGGAATTCTAAGTTACAAACAGCCCATGTTTATAAGTTTATAACCATATTAGTTTTTCTTTCATTGCACAAACATGTTGTCATGAGAGCTATTAATACCGTTGATATGCACCTAATTGCATGTTAATACGGTAACGTTCAGTTCTTATTTCTTATAGTTTTAGCACAACCAAATCTAGATTACATTTAAGAACGTTATTAATCAAATTATTAACCCCAAATAATAATACTTGAAGGGCATCAATGGAGTTCATTTTCCCTCTAAAATGTTGTGAGCAAGCTTGACTTCTATCCCACCTTAAGTTGGTTCAGCTCCTTCACAAACTCATCCAAATCCTTTGAAGAGCACCCGCCGCCTCCCACCGCCGCAAACGCCTTCTCCCTCAGCTCCTTTGCCCTCACCTTCACCGGCGTCTCCCCCCTCATTGCCTCCTCAATCGCCTTTCCCAACTCCGCTGGTTCCGGCACCGCATTCTCTCCTTCACACACCTTCACGGCCACCCCCATGTCCTCCACCAACAGCCTTGCATTCACAAACTGGTCCGCTTCCATGGGCCACCCCAATACCAACACACCCGCCACTATTGCTTCCAGCACCGAGTTCCACCCGCAATGGCTCACAAATCCACCCACGGCCCGATGGCCCAAGATCAACATCTGTGGAGCCCAGCCCCTTATGACCAAACCCCTCCCACCAACCCTTTCCTCAAATCCATCAGGCACGACTCCGATCCCATCTTCCACTTGTTGGGCCGTGCCCGTTTTTACGGCCCATACAAAACGGACCCCGCTCTGTTCGAGCCCGGAAGCCAAGGCCTCCATCTGCTGCCTATTGGGCAACTTCTGACTCCCAAAGCAAACATAAACCACGGACCCATCCGGGCACCCGTCGAGCCAGGCCATGACATTGGCACCCGATGAGTCCAAGTTCGGGTTGGCTCGACCTCCGTTACCAGCATCAACTACAGTAGCTGATAACAGACTTAATGGGCCAACCGCGTAAACACGTGAGTGGCCCATTTTGGCCCCCAAGTGGTCTAAGTAGTGTGCTTCCAAGTCTTGAAAGCTATTGAAAACGCACCCCCAACTTTCGGCATTCGCAAGCATGGATATCCTCAAGAATTCAGACTCGGGATCCGATTCTCTGTAGCGGCGGACCACGCTGGGAAGATGCTCCTGTTTGAAAGAGGGCAATCCCGGAATATCATGAAAATTGACAACCGTCGATGCCGACCGAACCGCCTCTAAATTACGCCAACAGTAGTCGAGCACGGCTGCCACGAACGGCCCGGAGGAGAAGAACGCGATTCTGGGGATGTTGAGCTGATTGGCTAGGTGTAGGGTCCACCCGAGGAAGAAATCAGAGACGAGAGCCACAGGTGGGTTGGGGTGGGACTTGAACCACTGGATAATTGGGTCCTGGAGTTTGGCAAGCGCGTTGATGATGTAACGGTTGCCGTGGTTGCCAATGTCCTTGACGTTCTCGACGCCCGGGGGGATTTCGGGGTGAGGAGGGAAGGGTAGGAGGAGGGTTTTGACGGAGGTCGGGGGGTGGGCTGAGAGGAGTGGGGTTAGGATCGGGAGGTTTTTGGGTGTGATTAGGATGGTTATGGCGAGGCCGTGGAGGGCTAGCTGGTGGGTGAGGTCCAGGATCGGGAGCATGTGGCCCTGGGCTGGGTACGGAAACACCAGGACGTGGGTGTGCTTAGCGATGGACATGCCTTTTTTTCTTGTGTGTTTCAGTGTGGATGCGGGGAGGAAGGTGGGAGGACGCTGGAGTTGCTTTTAGGATGCCAGCGGGGTGGCTGCTCAATTATTTCTAAGTCAACACACTTTACGACTTAATAGAGCCTTCACATGTACACACGTGGAAGAAATTCAAATCACAAGCGTAACAAATTGAAAAGAAAAAAAAAAAAAAGTTCCCATGATATTCATAATTCAATTTTATTTCGAAAAATTTAAATGTGAGTTGTCTTTCTTATCATATTGAATAATTATTATTAAGTACACGATAAGATTAACAATAAAATTAAAATTTATTAATAAACTCACATCTAATAACTAAACCTAGCTTGATGCAATATTTATCTTGCGTTCATTCTGGTTAAAACTCTAAAAGCTCTTATTATCAATGGTTAATGATTTTGAAGTTTTAAATCTTACAACTAAGATATGAATTGATTTATGCAATTTATTTTTTCCGTTTGATTTCAAATTTATTTTGGAGTTGAGAAGAAGGATTTTTAGGTTTCGATTCACAACCATCATCCCTTGAAGTTGAAAAGATTAGTTGGCGGCTTCATCCGTCTCTTGGCGAAGCCTCCCCTGCCAATTTGGTTTCCTCGAATCCACTCCATCACCATGGTTGAAAATTTGGGCTAACCTAAAGAAACAAGGGTTTGCTACCACTTACCTTAGATCATGGAATGATTAAAAATTGGTTCACTAGGAGGTAAAATATAAACAAATCAGCAACAGCAGCCATTGGAGCCATAGTGATGTACGCAGCTCCAGTAACGGGGCACATCATCTCAAGAAATTCTATTAATTCCTACTCACCTTGGTGTTGTACTACATCAAATACGACGTAATGCTATATTATATTAACGAAAGCATGCCATGCTGCTTTATGTTTATGCAATTTTGGATTTTATTTATGACGTAATGCTATATTATATTAACAAGATATTAGATTAGATAGTAAATTTGGGTTTAAAAAGATATTATTTTTTTAATTAAAAATAGTATGGGTGTAAAAAGTAAATTGAGTGTCGAAAGAAGTTACAAGGGTTCAAATAAAATTACCCCCTTACTTTTCATACTTTTTTTTTGTTCGTTAGATCAACGATCAAAAAATTAGTAAAAATGTGTGGGAAGTAAAAAAAAAGGGTGCGTCGATCGGTTCAAGTTTTTCATTGAATTACTCCAAGCACACTTTGAAAATTGGCTTTTCTAACGAGCTAGTAAAAAGGAAGTTGTTATCGGAAAACTAATGGCATAAATGTTTACAATTAGACTAGAGAGCTATTAGACCCACTCTAATATCTTATTTCTCCACTTACATTATAATCTCACTCACTATAAAATGTTAAAAGTTGAAATGCGATTTCCACACCCACTATTATTTTTAAAATAACCTCGGATATATTATTTCTCCACCCATTATTATTCCCATCGGTGAAACATCGCATAATTACCGTCTAAAAAATTAATTTACTTAGCATTACTCTTTTAATCCTATAATATACATATTATCTCTATACTAAAACCCGGTGGAGAAGTACTGTTCATTAATAGTGCCGTTCCGGTTTCGTCCCTCATTTTCTTCATGGTTTTTTGGCTTTAGTGGGATTGGGCAGTAAATTGGCCATTTTGCCCTTCATGGTAGGTGTTCCCCCGAGGAAGAAGTCAGAGTGGGTTAGTGTGGGACTTGAACCACTGGGTCGCTAAAGTTGGCAAGCGCTTGGATTACGGGAAGACTTCCACGTCTTCCTAAGTCCTTGACGTTCTCGACGCCCGGGGGTATTTGGGGGTAAGGAGGGAAGGGTAGGGCTAGGGTTTCGATGGAGGTCCGGGGGTGGGCTGAGAGAAGTGGGGTTAGGGTTGTCAGGTTTTTGGGTGTGTCTAGTATTGTTATGGTGAGGCCGTGAAGGGCTAGCTGGTGGGTGAGGTAGGATCGGGAGCATGTTTTCTTGGGCGGGGTACGGAAACACCAGGACGTGGGGGTGCTTAGAAATCGACATGGTTTTTGTTTTCTGCGTGGATGTTGTGTGAAAAGTGGGAAGATCCATCTTAGATAATATATAGTGTCCAATAAAATGAGATTAGTTGGTTGTTGTGGACACAGGTTTGATAACTCTGTTGGTCTTGTTTGTTTGTTTTCGTTCCTTTTGAACATTCACCAACAGGTTAGAAAATCGGCAAACATGCATGCAATGATGGTCGTTTGGACAATTTGTTTTTTGTTTTTGTTAGATCAGTAACTGTTTTTAGGGTTGAGATTGGTCGTTTGACTGGTTAGCGAAAGGGGATTAGGTTGTTTTGTCGACTCACGAACTGGTAGGGATTTGGTCTACTTCCATAGGACAATCAAATTTATGAGAGGAATTAACATAACCTCAAACAAATCACAGTGTGTTATATAGTTGTTTCCCCTACTTTGAACGTTAAAATACATGATTATACATAATATACTCCTACAATACTGCCACATTAGCATTCCACTTGCATTAACGTTGGAGATAGTGCAAATATATTGCCACAAAAACCACATACATACAGAATATTGAAGTGTGAATGGAGAGAAAGAATGAGAACGTGTATCGTTTTTCTAATGTTATTCAAAACCTTTATTATAGTATTTCTATTAATTAAGGGAATTTTATGAAATTATTTAATACCTAAAATGGTTTTTGATCCACACACACATACATTTACCGTTGTGTATGGTAGCCACAAAATGAGCATAAGAGCATTCACATATCAACATGCAAAGAAATTTCAAATTTGCAAGACATCGAGGTGCCGAAAAAAAAAATAACCAATTAAGAAAGAGTGCAAAGTAAAATTAGAAAGATGCTAATTAATTAGTACATTACTGAAATTAGTATATGAGGCTCTCCAGTCATTATTCATGTTCATGTCAGTTATTCTTAGGAGGGTGGTGCCTTGGTGAATGGTAATCCTGACTAAACGCAACAAATCCTGCATATTCCTGATCATGGTCGACACTTTTCTCAGAAAATCGACTTGCAGTACTATTTTCTTTGCATTCCACATTGCCGCATGAAGATTTTCCCTCAAGGTCGGAGCTGCTCCTTAAGGTCTTGGAGCTCCTAGTTCTTCTTATAGCGCCGTCCACCGCTACTTTAACGTCCTCTAACCTCGCCGCTGCCACTTTCCTTCCTCCTATACTCTTGTCCTTCTTAGTTGCAGTAGGAGGACTAACCACTTCATGATGATCAATATCTTGTCGCTGCACCTGTATTTCATATATGTAAATATATCGTTAAATCAAACCTATAAATGTATATATACGAGCCTAGAAATTGTTTGAGGATAACAATAAGTATTACAAATCATACAGTTTGAAGTGCTAGATTAATTACATCAAAGTGCAGAGTGTGTAAAATACATCTAATACCGTACGTACCTTTGTAGTCGAAACAACTTTTGTCACAACTGCACTTTCGCCTTCAAATTATAGAAAATCGCAATGTTATTGTGGATAGTAAGCTTAAACATTCCATAGTAACAAACATAATTTAATTCAAAAATATTAAGGAAAAAGTGAACAATAACACAGAAGAAGAAGAAAGGAAGGCAGATACCTAATTGATGACGGGAATTCGCAGAGATATTCCATATGCTTGCAGCAGAAACAAGCACAAACACCAAGCAGTAAGAAAACTTCATAGGACCCAAATCTCAGACTAAGCAAGAAGAATTAATGGAATGATATCTTATCAGCACTTTAGTGAGTCGGTGAATGTGTTAAATCTGCAAGATTTCAAAGAGAGTTAAATGTGTAAAACCCTAGTCAAATATATAGGGGGCAGCCAAGCACGCACACATACCCTAAGTCAATTCAAACTAGCTAGGGGACCTAACTAGGGTTTCCAAAAACGTACATATTTTATGCATATTTTAATTTGAAAGGGTGTGGCCAAGAACACCTATTACAAATACTACATAAAACATCGTGTCAACCCATGTGTATTTTGATCTGGGAACGAAGATTTCAAAGCATTTTGAGAGACAATTTGATGTGTGTTTCTCGAATTTTCAGAAAATTACCCTAACTAGTAGTGTATATATATTTTTTAACCTTTAGAGGAGAAACGTAGTACTGTAACGTGGAACGGAAGCTACGGACGTTAAAGTGTTTTGTGCCTGTCTGCCGCCATATACACATACATTGAAGAACTAACATTGAAGAACTAGCTTGGCCTAATTTCTTTTTGCATGCCGCGGTTGCCAAAACCTAAACCCTAATTCCTCAATTCCATGTCTACATTAATATATGATTTTTGGTAGGCTACTGTTTCTAATACCTAGAAACAACTAACAATGAATATGTTAGACCATCTCCAAATAAGATGTCAAATTTCGAACATAAAATTTAAATTTTGACAGCTTATGTGCTACTTTGACATCTTTTAAAATTTTGTTCTCCAATCAATATGTCTAATTAAATTATTATTTTGCTATTTTATAAAATAAATTATTAAACTAATTAAAATTTAATAAAGGACATTTAAAGTTTAATCAGTAATATGTTCACCTTCCTTGATTGAAAAGAAGAAAAAATTAGGATAATTGCATCGGTCAACTCAACATTAATTATAATAAATTATTAAACTAATTAAAAATTAATAAAAATACATTTAATAATTAATAATAATAAAAACATTTGAAGCTGTTGTCAAATTTGACAGCAACCTCTTTTGCTGCCAATCCATATCATCGCCACATAGGATTTGGCACTTCGGTTGGAGAATATTAGTGTGATCTTTTTTTACTGTTATATTTGATGTATACATTTTGGCATCTCCTTTAAAGATGCTCTTATGAGTTATAATCCAAATCTTTATGTGTTTGGTTAGTGAGAAAAATAGGTTTGAATATGAGAAAGGTATTTCCTTTCTCGTGTATTGTAAGTTTATGCTTTAAATTTGTATGAAAAGGAACAAATGGTAAAACGAAGACGCTCATCAAACTCTTGT